TAGGAATACAAATAATCTCGGGCAAATCTAAGAGCCAAACATGGCGCCCGGTAGAGAGAGAGGATGCCGCTTTGGCGAGGTTATGGGCCTCAACATTAAACTGGCCATACTCATGGATAAATTTAACGTCTCGGAACAAACTCCGTTCACACATACGTCATCCGTCTCCACTAAGGCCCAGTTGCCTACTTCAAAGACAAAATGGCCCATGACCTGTGAATCTGCAAACAGAGTCCGAAAGCAACACATGCCACAATGTTTTAGCAGCCTCGGTGGCGCGATTGCAAGAGGATCGGCGATGCGCGCGAGCAAGAAGATGACGAAATCACTATTAAGGAGTACTCCTTGCGGAAATCACTCCAACTCTCCAGATTGCCACAAGTGGCGTGCTGAATGCAGTGGCGGAGACAGGGGGGACGAGCAGGGGCCTGGCCCCCCTATCGATCGAGCGATCATGTCACATCTGTCTGGAATTAGCGATAGAAACGTAGGCACACATGTATTCGGCCCCCCCCTATTCGTGAATATTGTAAAGGAGGAAAAAGGCCCATGTGACAAGCCCACTAGGCACCAGCAGGCCGATTAGCTCTAGTTCCCGCTGGCCTGGGCACTCGTCACCGTAACTGTAATTAGCGTATATTACTTTCTCAAAAAAAAATGTAATTAGCGTATATTACGCGCGTTTAGTCCGCAGAAGATTAGCCGCCGCCGTTCCACGCTCGCCTCTGCTCTCCCTCCACTGTACTGCTGCTGTCGATCTGAATTTCTCCGGTCAGATCCAGATCAGGGACGAAGGGCCTCCTCCGCTAGACTGCTACTTGTTTCGGCTTGGCATTCAGCGATGCTCGGACGGCATCTGCCGATTGCCATTCTAAATTACTCAAGCCTTTATCACGATCTGGTTATATTGCCACAGATCAATTTCTCAAGGTATGTTCACTAATCTATTCTGTCTGATATGTTCATGCTTTAGTAATGATGATCAGAAGAGAAATACACATTTATTTATCTTTTTTTATAACAGCTATACCTTTCTATGAAAAAATGAAGAGAAAGAATAGAAGAAATTTCTTTATAGACCACTTTCTTCAATCCTTAACTCGACATTGAAAATTCGGGTTTGGGTCTAATGAGATTATTGTTTTCTACGCTAAATTTAAATAAACACTTGTCAAACATGTATCTATTTCTATGTGTATAAGCTATTAGAAGAAAAAACATGTATCCCCTTTGTTCCGAACTATAAGATGTTTTAACCTTTATGTATATAGATGCGTTTTGGTGTGTTCATTCACACATTTCTCAATCCCTATATAGTTTAGATTAAAATATAAGAAACGCCTTATAATTCGGAAAAGAGGCGATAGCATTATCCTCACGTG